TGGAAAAACATACAACGTCGGATTTCTGGGTGGAGATTTAGGTCATATTTCATCTGTTTATACACTCAAGGGGGGAACATCTACCGGCTGGGTTCGCTTGAGATTACTGGTCAGAATGCGGTCCAGGAGAGGTTGAGTTGCGGTATCGACAATTTTTGGTTCCCCACAGGCAGGCGGCAAGGACGACCACCTAGATTTCCCACGATGCGGCTTTTTCAATCTTGGCGTTTTTTTGATGCTTGAAAGCAGCGGCCTTTGGGGCCGTTATCGCGCCCGAGGGCAGTCGAACATTGATCCGAGGCGAACGTACGGACCCCGGGAAGCGTTGGGGTGGGGACTTCTCGGGCCGCGCATTGAACAAATCAGACCGGTGGATGCCAAGGTGTGTGTGTGTGTGTGTGTGTGTGTGCAAAGCCCTCTCTTGCATGCCGGCCAATCAGCCATTCGGTGGCCCCGAGTTACCACGAGCTGGAGCGGACCGCCTCCTGCCTCGCCGCCGACGGAATGTCTAGGTGTGTGTGTGTGTGTGTGTTTGTGTGTTCCTTTCAGCGGAAGAGGTTCGCTCTCGCCCTGCAGATAAAACAGGTGTTTGTGTGTGTGTGTGTGCACATGAGATTCACAACAAATCCGCAGCTATCGTGGCTCAAAACCGGAGTGTCTTGCTCTTGGGAAGTCGCGGCCTACACACTGCACGATCTGTGCGTTTCTACTGGTGCAGCAGTCTTGTTTTGTTCATACGTCGATATCGTGCTGCGGTTTCGGTCCGCATGCCCTTTGCGCATCTACGTCTCGGATGCCAGACGGAGCTGGTTGATCTTATCAGCCTGGTCGTGGCAACTCTCAGAGACTTCGTCGCACGATTGGTTCCCGAGAGAATCCAGAGGGCAACATATCCAAGATGGAGGCCGAAGCCAAATCATGTGAATTCTAGACGCTTCGCGTAACCCCACCAGCGTAACCCCACCAGAGTATCTCGCGTTGCGCCCCAGCCGAGACCGTCCCACTTCCTGGATCTGTCCTTGTGAGCCGCCGATCAAAAAAGTAACCCCACCAGCCCATCCAGAAACGATGCCCAGAGGAATTGCCTCGATCAGGGAAGTGGGCAGCACACAGAGGAAGGGTCCCCCAGTGGAGGCCTCTTGGAGCGTCTTGGGTGCCTCGGAGAGCTTCTTGGGGCCTCTTGGGGGTCTCTTGGGAGCATCTTGGAGGCCTCTTGGGCGCCTGTTGGGGCCTTCTGGGCGCCTCTTGGGGCCCCCTTGAAGCGCTCTTGGGGCCATCTTGGGGGACATCGATCAAACAAGAAGCGAGCATTAGTTAGCGTTGTCCGTCGGGAGCCCAAACAATCGCCTCTTGGGGCGCTCTTGGGGCGCTCTTGGAGCGCTCTTAGGCGCTCTTGGGGCCGTCTTGTGGCTTTCTGGAGCCTTTCTTGGAGCCCTCTTGGGCCATCTTGGAGCCATCTTGAGGCCTCGGATGGCCATCGGAAGCGAAAAGGCGAGAAAGCCAAACACATAGAATTTCATCAGGTTTTGGCCTCTTCGGGGCCACCTGGGGGAGCTCTGTGGCCACGGGGAGCCGTTTTGGAGCGGTCTTGGGGCATCTTGGAGCATCGTGGGAGCCATTCTGAGACATCTTGGGATATCTTGAGCCATCTTGGAGGTCATCTTGGGCTCTCCCAGGCGCTCATGGAGTCATCTTAATCAGTGCCCCCCCAAGAGGCCAACATGTGGCTAAAACCTTAGTAAAATCAATGATTTGGCATTCTCGCCGAGGCCTCTTGGAGCATCTTGGGTGCCTCTGGGGGGTCTCTTAGGGCCTCTTGGGGGTCTCTTGAGGGCCTCTTGGGGGCATCCTGGGGGCCTCTTGGGGCTTCCTGGCCACCTCTTGGGGCCCTCTTGGGGCACCCTTGGGAGCTTTGGGGGCCATCTTTGGGCCATCTTGGGTAAGATCGATCACAGGAGGGTGGGGCACCAATTAGCGTCCCCCCCCTCCAGGAGGCCAAAATGGGGCCCAAACCTCGAGGCTGTTTTGGACGCTCCGACACCTCGCGAAACCCCATGTCCAGGTCCACGGGGAGGGGGTAGGGGGAGGGGTAAACCCCTCCCCGAAGGGGAAGAAGGAGGGGTGGAAGAGGAAGCTCCCTAAGCCACCGACGCCCAGAGGGCTGGCTGGTGGGATTCATTTTCTCCCTGCTACCGTTTCCGAGGACCCTTTTCATTGCATTGGTGATCCTTGGGCCTTCAAGCTTGCCCAGCCGCTTCCGGCAGGTGAACCTACTCCGACACCAGACACCGACTCCAGCGGTAAGGGACAACCAAACCGTCATGCGGTTCAAGTTGGACAGTATCTTCGCAGACCTCAAGATGGACATCATCGAGTTAGTGGAAGGTACAACCACATACATGGTTCACTAGTATCAGTGAGAGCACGTTAAAGACTCTCCGCAAGTTCGCTACCCATGAGGAAGGAGAAGCACAACGAGGAGGTCTCCTTCACATTACGT